ACAGCCCAGTTAGGGCTCTGTGTGGTCTCGAGGTATGGCGTCCGCCTCAAGTGCTGGAGGTCCCCGGTGAAGGCTGGGCATTTTTCACGTGGACTTCCAGTAATTTCCCCTGGTCTCTGGGTAGTAAAAATCGGACGCCCGTGTGTATTGCTGCACACGTTTAAAAAAAATCCCCTGACATTTGGAAAGCTGGCTTGAGTCAGAAAGAGAAATGAAGCACTTATTGGTTATTAGCCTTGTGTCATGTTATTGTTCCGCAGTCTAAAGCTAAACCCAGTACAGTTTTATTGCAAAACCACAGTATACTATATAGTTCAGTGTGGGTGGCTTGTGTGTGCTTAATAGTGGGTTCAGGCTGCACTACGGGCTAATGAAGACAATTGGGCACTCTTCCGAATACCGGTCCCAAATTATACACTGCGAAAATATCCCGTTAAGAGCCTCAGGAGGTTATATAGTAAATACCATCATTAGTTTCCACTTCTGCCGTGCCCAATGACAATTGTTTTAAGGGTCTCAAGCTGGGGATGGGTCTTAGTACTCTTATTCCTGCAGCAAGGCGATTTCGTCACTTGGAGGTACAGGGTCGATTTTCCGTACGTTAACTATAGCTCTCGATTTTCTTGCCTATTGTGTCCTATCTATATACTTCTTTCTATAAGTGCCAATCAATACGTGTCCATTTGTTTATTATATATACTCGGGCTCTTAAACTAATTCTTTCAAGTAGTAAAATAACCATATTTTATCACCACCATGGTCGAGGCGGCCAGAAGAGCTAGAAACAGAACCTTATATCTTCCTCGGTAAAAGAGGAAGTGAAGAAGAAGAAGAAGTGAGTATTTAGCGATGACCATTACTACTTCCGTCCTTGAAACAACAAAAAGTAGAACTAACAGCCAGAAGAATGAGAAGCCTCGTTCACATACAAAGGTACTTTTTCATTTAGTCTTTTTGTTTCGTTAAAATATTTTTTTTTTTTTAGTTTCCGGTGATGTAGAAAATTAAAACCCTCTGATTTGTGAAACTGAACAACCACACGGGAAAGAAGATTAGGTCTTAACAACTTTCTACAACATGAGGCTCGGACAATTGATGTCTGTCGTGTCAAATCTGTGTGGTCACTACCCGAAAGTAAAAGGTTAACATTTCTGTTCTATTCGAAAACGTACGGAAACAGTCTTCCAATAAAAGCGAGCTCCCTGGTCAATTAACCTTGGCACAGACAAGGCTGGATTGTTTCCTCTCTGGGTGGTGTCTAGTGTCAACACTTAAGTGCGCTCCTGGTGTGTCAAGGGAGTTCACTGAATGGCTGACAGCTGATGGGGAGGCAGAGAAGGTTAAAGGTTACATTATGTGAATTTGAGGCCGCGGCCACACAATGTATACATACAACGGGTGACATATGCCGGCGGTTGCTTATGTTTCTGGTCCCGGCCTACTTCAGTCCACGCATGGCAGGTGTCACTAGCGTCACGTGGTCAACTAGCTAATTTGTGGAGGGCTTCAACTGGTTGGATGGCTTCACGTCTGCCTAATGGTCGTTACTGTAACCCTTTCTATTCCAGGAGGTTAGTGCTTCAAGTAGTAAATATGGCATCGAAAAAGATGTAACGACATTGAAAAGTTGTGTTTAAACAGGACGAGAGAGAGAGAGAGAGAGAGAGAGAGAGAGAGAGAATGAACGAGCTTTATTTTCAAAGGGTCACAAATAGGGCACGCAGGCCCGTTTTACATTCGGCCCTTCCAAACACCCGTCTTTCACACAACAGTTGTATTTTATCAATAAAGCATGTTATATTCATATGATAACATGCATATTGGGAATTTCAAGAACAGCACAAAAGCCTGGGTGGTAAAATGCGTGCATAGACTAGCGCACGCACGAACACACACACTCAAACACGCATGTATATACACCCTCATAATACAAAGATACACACATATTTCACACACGTACATACATACAGATACACACATGCACACACACAGACATACCCACAGAAACACACACATACGTACACACATAAACACACACACACACACATGCGCACAGACACACAAATACACATACAAACACACACAATACAAAGACTTCTGGTCAAAATGGACGCTAGTCAGGGGCACTGTTTGGAGTCGACGCAAATTTTTTGCTTTTGCCGTACGGTGGCCGTTGCAGTTTTGCTCCATTTGTAAACTGGATATAGTTTCCTCGCCCAGCTTCCGAGTTGAATGCGTGGCGTGACACTGTGAGCTACTGATTTCATTTTCAATATTTTTTTCGACTGTGACCAACGTGGTGGTGTGAATTGTGGATTCAGAACTTAGCGCGATGCCTGTCGTCGCAATGTTGGTGATGCTGTATGTGATTAAAATTGATCGCGTGTGCAACTGCTGATCTGTTGGTAACTTTTGTTACCATCAATGATGAACTGCATTTTCAATGTCGGACTGTTTGAGTTAGCACTTCGGATGGCTATTGTATGCTTTAATGTGTTTGTATGCTAGATATGCTGAGACAGCAGTCTATCAATCTTTCCAGAAGGGACTGTGATAAACAATATTTGTATTTTTCGTTGGCACAGGAGCGGAGCAACGATGGGGTGACCCGTTTGCTATGAAGCTGAAACTAAGACTACCAGATCAGACAGACACACACAGACATACACACACAGATACACAAACCCGCAGACAACGCTTGCAGACACATACACACAGACACACATACACAAACAGACGCAGACACACACATAAAGAAACAAAACAGAGAGAAAGGGAGAGAGAGAGAGAGAGAGAGAGAGAGAGAGAGAGAGAGAGAGAGAGAGAGATGGTAGGCACAGCAATATTCTGGGACAAGACTACAGTCCAGAAGTGGACAAACAACCAGAACTTTCCGTCGGAGATTACAGCTGGTGAACGCGAAGAAGAATAGAGCCGACCTTGGCAAACAACTGAACATAAAACTGCCTCGTAAAACCAAACACTGATGGGGATAGTTCTGCAAGGTCCGGTAAAGGAAACTCTGTTAACTGTTTTGTTTGAAAAGAAAGGGTTGAACGGGGTATTTGTGATCTTCTTCTACTTTCATTCGCTTGAAATAAATTATCTATATCTGCAATGTTGTCTCTAGTATGAATTTCATTGTCTTTTGTATTTGACTCAGCGACCCGTAAAGTTTGACTTGCACCGATGTTTCTTATCTGTGATCTGTTCTTTGGTCTACCATTCAGACTGCGATTTTTGGTGTTGTTTTCTCTGGAAAATGCCGATGTGTTGGGAAATGAAAAGGCAGTCAGACTGGCTGGCAGGCTCTGCAAAACTTGGTGTAATATTGATGAGTGCTAAGGCAGACGTGGTTATGGCTTTGTGTCTGGTGAGAGTAACGGAGGGATTTGGTCGATTCTCGACGCTCAGTGGAAAGGCAAGATGGACGCATAATCAGAATACTGAGGGCACTCTTAGTACTGGAACTGTCCGCTGGCTGCTGAAGATGGGGCGGGTTGTTTATGAGAATGCTCTGAGTGCATCGATGGTACTTATCAACTCAACTGAAACTACATTGGTTTATAAGAATTACAAGGGAGAGAACCACCAAAAAGATTTGGGGATGGTAACTATTAGAGTTGTCTATATTGTCCACCCTCTGAAAATCACATCTTATGCGCAGCTTACTAGTTTAATTAAAACAAGGTGACGAAGTTATCAGGACTCTTACTTACTGGTCTACAGGCAGCCTAAGATTCGAATCCCCATTGAACAGCTGTTGAAATAACTGACTTGAGCTTCCAGAATGATTCAGCTACAGATGCGGGGAACGTTTTCTCTGTGTGCTGGGATACTTTAAAATGGAGCGAATGTGGCGAAGAATCCCTGGGATCAAATGGACCATGCAACAGAACAGTGAATGCATACACATGTGATGAGTCTAGGCTCTTGGGGTTGGGCACTGGTACCATTAGCATGTGGACTCTTCGTTGATTATTGAGGAAGGAGATAGAACATGTGTGAGAATCTCAGGCTCTCCTTTGAATCGTTCCCCAAAATGGCGGCTTTAATATGATGGCGTTCGAAAGAGAGCTAAATTGGCCAATTTCTGGCCATAAAATATCCAAAAATATCCTAATGCGGGTCAGTTCTATAAAAATATATGTGCCGGCTCCGGATAACGAAACAAATGCTCTGACAGGGTCTCGGCGATACGTTGCTTGCCGACCTGCTTCTGCGAGTGTGCCTCACCGCCGAGAGTATCCCCTGCGCCACTACGCGCGGCACGGATGGCGGCTAAACTAGATGGCTGGGACTCACGAGTGGCAGCTACCGCATTTCCTGCAACTTCCTCCAATTACAGTACTCGTGAGTCCCAGGCACCTAGTTTAGCCCCCATCCGCGCCGCCCGTAGCGGCGCAGGGGATACGCTCGGCGATGAGTTTAATCTACGCGAACACCGTCGTTCGGATATTTTGGATATTTTATGGCCAGAATGTGGCATGCCGCCATTTTGGGGAATGATTTAAAGGAGTGCCGAATCTCCTGTGAGCAGCCATGTCAGTTCTTGCGTTTATTCATTCACTGGGTAGGACCAACATCCCATGGAAGTCAAGATGGCTGACAAGTGACGATTGTTACATACAGGCATGGAAACAGCCCTTTATTTACTCACTTGACATTAAAGGACTTATCAATTCTTCCTAGTACAGGGTAAGGTCCCAATCTTTTCTTCGGTATGACTCTCGTATAACAGTCTGAGAACTAATAAAGTTAGATAGATAGACTGACACAGAAAGACTGACTGATAGACAGACAGAGACATACATACAAACAGACAGACATAGACACAGACAAGTGGACAGGCAAACAAGCGGAGTGACAGATAAATAGACAGACAGCTAGATAGAGATCATGCACCAGACAGAATCTTTCTACTTTAAAAGTTTAAACTGTAAGCAGAGTAGTTAAATATTATTTTATTTCAGACAGATTTCATAAGGATCCAGACATTCCTACAAATATTTAGCCACCATGTTTCGATCCATCAGTTTTTGATTTCTCATTTTCCTCTTTATTTCTGCCCTCAGCAGGTTCTGTTGATGTTGAGTGGGTGTGTGCCTGTGGATGTTTTACAATTATTAGATTACATCAAATAAAAAGTTATTTATGTGTTCATTTTATTGTCTGTTAGAATAGCCAAACATAAGTGTGGTGGAAACTATGAAGCTGGGTTGTTTAAATTTTCTTGGGGACCAAAATGCTGAGAGCTGAAATTGTCACAGGCCAGAGGGCCGAGCGTCAGCTCAGATCATTAACATAAAACACCTGGCAATGATCTGCAGGCCACTTTCTTGGCATCCAATGGCCAGATTTGGCCACCAGTTGAGCTATAGAGCATAGTGAGTCGCATACTTGCTTGTCAACCTCGTGGTCATAGGTTCAAGTCCGCATTGAGGTGAATGTTTTTAAAAAACTGATCTTGACTTCAGTTTGGCGATAGTGGGCTAGAACCATTTTTACAGACCAATCGGCACTAGGTGGGTGATGTCGTCAGCATCATGCCGGCTGCCTTTACTTCCCAGGACGTTACCTGGTATCCATTTAAGGCTGGGTCGACCTGGAAGCCAAGGTTATCTCTAAAAAAAAAAATTGTCTGGACCGGAATCCACACATACGAACATACACACATAGCATCTGTCCGCTACACCGCTGTGGCGCCATATTCAGTGAGTAATGTACCATAAATTTGTGGGCGCAGGTCCTTGACTTATTCATGGTATAACAAAATAAAACCAGTCATCATCATCAAGTGCTTTGCCGACTGCCATGGAGGATCATGCCTCCCCACAATCCACGATCCTCGACAGCATGCATCGTGTGCAGACACCCCTCCATGCCATGACACAAAACTTTTGAGAATCTTCTCACATTGTGTTCCTCTGTCACTTTTTCCACAGATCCTTCCAGTGCTGTAAAGAAAGCTTAAGCGTATTACAGTAGAAAAAAAGAATGAAATAATACCTAAATGTGAGAATGATGTTTGTGATTCTGATCTTGCCAAGTAGTTCAAAATAGCCAAATGTACGATCTGTATTATCTTGAAGAAAAGATGACTTATTTGGCTAAAGTAGAGACTATGTTACGAAGCAAAGGTCTCAAATATTAGAAGAAGTAGAATCATTATTGTTATGTTGCATTAATGAAAAGTAGCTTGCTGGAGATGGTGTTACCAAGACTCTAATAAGTAAGAAGGCTTTACTTGTGCACGATGATTTGGTTTGGAAAACGCTGAATACAAATGATGCTAGCATTGACAAATTTAAAGCTAGTTAAGGCTGGTTCGGGAAAATTTGTCAACAAACTGAAATTCATTTTATCCAAAAAAGACAAGACAAATGTCTCTGGATCGTTATCTTGTGAAAATACCAGCCAACAAGTGAGCAATGGAACCCCTTCCCATGACACAAACAAGAGGAAAAAAAAAAACATAGATACCTATACGCTTGCCTGAAATTATTACAGAATGGGACTCTCCTTCAAAGGACTAGTCTTCGGCCTCCTCCCCCCTCCTCCTCTAGCATCAACCGGTGCCAACAACTATTAACCACAACCGTCAAGTTTTACCACATATTTTATATTATATTTTAGCATGTGAGAATGGTTTTTTTTACCTCCAATTAAAGAGATTTATTGTTTAAAAGCCCATAGCCTGTACATAATAATATAATTAATTAGTTGTGTAGCATGATATGCAAAGAAACTCCAGTTTTGGTTGACTGTGATTTTTATAAATCCATTTTTTAAAAAGTCCACACACACACACAATAAAAACACAATATGTTTCTGAGGCTGCTGAATTAATAATTTGGATCTGCATTAATTTCAATGGGAAACATTGTTTCTCCTTGTAAAAATTTTTATTCCACGAACAGAGTCAAAGAATGAATTGAGTTCATGACCTGAGGTAGCATTCTACATAGTTAATACAGGTTTTACCTGTCTAAGTTGTTGCAGAGCAATTAAAATTTAACAAATCCCTGCTAGCATCAACTAGCAAGGGAACAAAATATTAAAATTTTTGTTTTGTTTAAATAACTCACTGAAATGGTGGCAGTGGGGATGTGTATGCGGTCGTGCCGACACTTGTGATACTTCTTTCCACCAGGGCTGGTGCATGAGTCCGGTCATACTCCAGTTTCTCGCATTTCTTCAGACAGTGAGGGCACACCACCTCATTCCTTACTGACAGGGAAGGACGTGTGTCAAGATTACTTCAATTCAATTTTAACAATACAGAATGTTATAAAACCATTATCAGTAAACGATGCTATAACAAAGTCATCTTTATTATTTTAATTATCAACATCTTCATCCTCGTTAATAGAACCAGTTTCATCATCATCAGATTCATTGCATCATCATATTAACACCACCGCCACCATCATCCTCATCAACACCTTCATTATCACTAAAACTAAACCAGTCCTCACCATCTCACTGCTATCACCAACACTGTCACTATCACTATTATCAAGATCACCTCTATCCTTATCATCACATTTTAAACATCATCATTATTGTCTCTCCAGTAATGCCACCTCATTATCACCATCAGTATTATCACTACCACCAACAAACTGCTGTTATCACCACTATTATTTTCATTATCACCAGCCACATCACCCACTGTGTACCAGCTGGTCTAGACAGAGAGGGTCTTGCAACAGAAACCGAGTGTTCTTCAAGCTGTGGAATGAGTCATTAATAACCTTATCATTCCATCAACTGTTTTCTCTTATGCCTCATGCAGTGACATGGGTAAGTGACAACTTCCCCATTCCACCGAACCCAGAATGAGACAGTCAACAGCACCCAGAATGAGTCCGTCCGTAGTACCCATGAGATAGTCCACAGTATCCAGAATGAGACAGTCCACAGTACAAAACATCATGTTTGGGTGATGGGTTAACATCATGTTGGCCACCTTTATTTCTCAGGACTTTACCAAGTACACATTGTATGCTAAGTTGATCTGGGAGTCAAGGTATTTTTTGTTTTAAATTTGAGGAGGCACAATGGGATCCATAATCTTGAGGCCTGCAGGTGAGTGCCTCATTGCTAAACCAAGCATGTTATAAAGAGAAATAAACTTGAAAACAAACATCTAGCAAATGTAATGGCAGAAGAGCAAGAAAAAGACAGAAATAAATACCAGGATTGCTTGACTACAGGGTATAAGTGACAAGAACACAGGCCTTATCCTAGAAAGTAACTTTGTGAGATGATCAACAATGACTATTTAGACTTATCAGTATGGTGTATATGGACACCGGAAGGGACAGAAAATAGGGAAGACCAAGAGAGACTCTACATGGAACCATCGTCAGGGAAGGCTCAACCTTGGGCCTAACAAACATGCAGAACCTAAAGCACGTGGCAATGAACCGCCAGACACGGAGAGCTATGACCTCTGCCCTATGTGCCACCCTAGCCCGAAGAGAAAAGACCAACTAAGAATGCTACTAATGATGATTATGATTTATCAGGTGGCACTGATCTGAAAGTCATGCAGTCAGGGAAAATCCAGGCAACATTATTAATGAAAGAAAACCATCATCATGCCTACATGCTTTTTCCATCAGTAAAAAATGTCCGTATTTCTTGGCTGTGTCCAAAGGTGTGTCACCTTTAATATTAGCGACTGATAAACTAGCATCATGCTGCAAACAACAGTTAAAGCATTCTGCCTTCCCTCCTTCTGCAGCATTATGGAGAGATGTATTCCCATGATCTGAAAGAAAAAGATTTGTTGCTGTTGCAGTCATGTAATATTTGTTTCTCTACACAAGTGGTCTTCGTAATGCCGGGATTCTGGGTTCGATCCAAGGCTGCGGGCCATGCGCCTTGGGTTGGTTTCGACAGTGGTATCAAGAAAGCTGATCGTCCAGAAAGCAATGGCAAACTACTGGATGTAAATTTGCCTAGAAAAACCACACAACAGCCAGGGGCTGTTGGGGTTGGTTCTGCAATGTCCTGTAAAGGACATGCAACTAACTAACACAAGTGGTCTCCAGTCAAGTTGTGGGTTGGGGGGGAGGGTCTGAGGGCGACATCAAGCAATTTTTAAATTCAGTATATGTGTACTTGTAATAATCAGGATTGTCAGCGTTAACAGTCATGAAAACAAAACAGTGCTGCTAGCTTGATGTGGACAGTGATCTTCATGGTGCCTTGTCCAACATTAGACAAAAAATAACAGATATCAAAACAACTTGTTAACCTTCATATTAATATTTGGACACTAATTTACCAAGTTGTTGGTGACTGTTTCATTTGGTATCTGACACTCTGAATTACATGCATGTTCTTCTCAAAACTTTTGCATAATGTTATCTAGTGGTTTTAAATTAGATAATGGAATAATTAGTTCAGTTCATTTCATGAACTTCTAATTCAGAATGTATGTCTATCCTTCTTCTTATTCTTCTTTGCGTTCATCAGCTGTAAACTCCAGTGGAAAGTTCTGGTTGTTCATCCACTTCTGGACTGTAGTCCTGTTCCAGAAGTTGAGTGTTGCATGCGCATCTGATTTACAGATCTGACTCATCTGTATGAGAACTGTTGGTTCCTTGCATCTCAGGCAGATGCACTCTAACTTTGAAAGAAGCTACCAGTCAGTGGATTCTTATGACATACTTTTGGGAAGGCTGTGGGTCTATTCTTGTTTTCCTCACAATGAGGCCCCAGAACCACCCATGTACCAGTTTATGTGCTTACTGCCTCCGTGCCATGACGAAAGGCTGTTAAAAATCAGTTTGCATTGTCTTTATATTCTCTTTTTCCACATATTTTTCTAGTGACCACAAAATGATGGCTGTCTCTTTCTGGTTTTTGTGATAAGTTGTCCTCAAGCCCTTGCCTCTTTCGAAACATCTGAGGTCCTTTTTTTTGGCAGTCCTAGGAATTCTAAGGAGTCCTCTCTAAAACCAGATTTATAAATGTATAAATTTTTTAAAACAACAACAGAATAATGACAATCAGAAAAAATATTGCATGCGGTCTTGGTAACTTAATACAGAATTTAGCAGTGTGCATTTATTTCAGTTTTATAGCTTCAATGCAATATAAAAGACATTTACATTACATATTTAGACAGCCATAGAAAACCTACTGTCCACCAAACTGACATCAACGTTTGTTTCCAATAGCCAGTGCAGAACATTGACCCCTCCATACAAGGCTGCCTACACAAAATAAAGTTACATTCTTAAATTCGATCAAATTCAGATTTCAAGATACAGGTGCATCTAGACATACAAAAGCATGCATGAATAATGTGCAGGTATGTGTGTGCATTCAGCTAGGCATGTATGTGCATCCAGGTGGGCATGTATGTGCGTCCAGGTGGGCATGTATGTGTGTTCAGGTGGGCTGTATGTGCGTCCAGGTGGGCATGTATGTGCGTCCAGGTGGGCATGTATGAGCGTCCAGGTGGGCATGTATGTGCGTTCAGGTAAGCATGCATGTGTGTGACCAAGACAAGTGTTACAGCTTACAAGTACAGCCATGGTTAGTGTGGCACTTGCAAGCACAGCCAAAACAATCTAGCAGCTTGTATGTAGAGCCTAGAATAGTGTAACAGCTTGTATGTAGAGATAAAACTAGTGTGACAGCTTGTATGTAGAGCCTAAACTAGTGTGACGGCTTGTATGTAGAGTCAAAACTAATGTGACAGCGTGTATGTAGAGCCAAAACTAGTGTGACAGCTTGTATGTAGAGCCAAAACTAGTGTGACAGCGTGTATGTAGAGCCAAGACTAGTGTGACAGCGTGTATGTAGAGCCAAAACTAGTGTGACAGCTTGTATGTAGAGCCAAACCTAATATGACAGCTTGTATGTAGAGCTAAAACTAATGTGACAGCTTGTATGTAGAGCCAAACCTAATATGACAGCTTGTATGTAGAGCCAAAACTAGTGTGACAGTGTGTATGTAGAGACAAGACTAGTGTGACAGCGTGTATGTAGAGCCAAAACTAGTGTGACAGCTTGTATGTAGAGCCAAAACTAGTGTTACAGCGTGTATGTAGAGCCAAGACTAGTGTGACAGCGTGTATGTAGAGCCAAAACTAGTGTGACAGCTTGTATGTAGAGCCAAACCTAATATGACAGCTTGTATGTATGTAGAGACAAAACTAGTGTGACAGCGTGTATGTATGTTGAGCCAAAACTAGTGTGACAGCGTGTATGTATGTAGAGTCAAAACTAGTGTGACAGCTTGTATGTATGTAGAGCCAAAACTAGTGTGACAGCTTGTATGTATGTAGAGCCAAAACTAGTGTGACAGCTTGTATGTAGAGCCAAAACTAGTGTGACAGCTTGTATGTAGAGCCAAAACTAGTGTGACAGCTTGTATGTATGTAGAGCCAAAACTAGTGTGACAGCTTGTATGTATGTAGAGCCAAAACTAGTGTGACAGCTTGTATGTAGAGCCAAAACTAGTGTGACAGCTTGTATGTAGAGCCAAAACAAGTGTGACAGCTGGTATGTAGATCCAAAACTAGTGTGACAGCTTGTATGTAGAGCCAAATCTAGTGTGACAGCGTGTATGTATGTAGAGCCAAAACTAGTGTGACAGCATGTATGTATGTAGAGCCAAAACTAGTGTGACAGCTTGTATGTATGTAGAGCCAAAACTAGTGTGACAGCCTGTATGTATGTATGTAGAGCCAAGACTAGTGTGACAGTGTGTATGTAGAGCCAAAACTAGTGTGACAGCGTGTATGTATGTAGAGCCAAAACTAGTGTGACAGCGTGTATGTATGTAGAGCCAAAGCTAGTGTGACAGCTTGTATGTATGTAGAGCCAAAACTAGTGTGACAGCGTGTATGTATGTAGAGCCAAGACTAGTGTGACAGTGTGTATGTAGAGCCAAAACTAGTGTGACAGCATGTATGTATGTAGAGACAAAACTAGTGTGACAGTGTGTATGTATGTAGAGCCAAAACTAGTGTGACAGAGTGTATTTAGAGCCAAAACTAGTGTGACAGCTTGTATGTAGAGCCAAAAACTAGTGTGACAGCTTGTATGTATATAGAGCCAAAACTAGTGTGACAGCTTGTATGTATGTAGAGCCAAAACTAGTGTGACAGCTTGTATGTATGTAGAGCCAAAACTAGTGTGACAGCGTGTATGTATGTAGAGCCAAGACTAGTGTGACAGCGTGATTGTAGAGCCAAAACTAGTGTGACAGCGTGTAAATATGTAGAGACAAAACTAGTGTGACAGCGTGTATGTATGTAGAGCCAAAACTAGTGTGACAGCGTGTATGTATGTAGAGCCAAACCTAATATGACAGCTTGTATGTAGAGACAAAACTAGTGTGACAGCGTGTATGTATGTAGAGCCAAAACTAGTGTGACAGCGTGTATGTAGAGCTAAAAGTAGTGTGACAGAGTGTATGTATATATGTAGAGCCAAAACTAGTGTGACAGCTTGTATATAGAGCCAAAACTAGTGTGACAGCTTGTATGTAGAGCCAAAACTTGTGTGACAGCTTGTATGTAGAGACAAAACTAGTGTGACAGCTTGTATGTAGAGCCAAAACTAATGTGACAGCTGGTATGTAGAGACAAAACTAGTGTGACAGCTGGTATGTAGTGACAAGACAAGTGTGACATCCTATATGTAGAGACAAGACTAGTGTGACAGCTTGTATGTTTGAAACAAGATTAGTCTGACATGTAGAGACTAGACTTGTGCGACAGCATCATATGACTGATGCATAAATGGTGTGAAAAGGGTCCTTTATAGGGTGACCATATTGTGCTATTTTCGCCAGGACAATATTGGTTTAATTTTTGTTTTGGATGTGTGAGTGGGTGAAAAAAGGGGGGGGGGGGGGTTCGGGGGTAATCAATGTGGTTGTCAGGGCCTACCTAATAAACTATACTGTCCATGTGAAAATAGCACAATATGATCACCATAGTCCTTTACGAGGGACCGAAACCTAGGCTTCAACAGTGCCAGCTATGTCAGCCACCACTCTATAACACAGACATTAACAAACCAGCATCAAAAATACCAAAAAAAATAACAACTGACAATGTGTGAGCTAGTTCTTCCCTCTCCCTGGGTTGCATTTAAAGATGCACCATGTCTGATCAGAAACTGCACACATCTGAGGTTATCATGTCGAGCTGCATGATGCAGTGGAAGGTTGAGGTTCTTATCCTGTATTGTTAAGTCACAGTTCCTTCCTAGGAGGTACACCAAAGCCTCGAAACCTGCAAGCAATTCACACTGTAATGTAATTAACTGTTGAGGTAACCATACACTGTTATATAATGCTAGGTAATAGACCTAGCTGTTGAGTTAACCATACAGTGTCAGATAATGCTAGGTAACATAATTAACTGTTGAGTTAACCATATAGTGTCAGATAATGCTAGGTAACAGAACTAACTGTTGAGTTAACCATACAGTGTCAGATAATGCTAGGTAACATAACTAACTGTTGAGTTAACCATACAGTGTCAGATAATGCTGGGTAACATAACTAACTGTTGAGTTAACCATACAGTGTCAGATATTGCTAGGTAACAAAACTAACTGTTGAGTTAACCATACAGTGTCAGATAATGCTAGGTAACATAACTAACTGTTGAGTTAACCATACAGTGTCAGATAATGCTAAGTAACATAACTAACTGTTGAGTTAACCATACAGTGTCAGATATTGCTAGGTAACATAATTACCTGTTGAGTTAATCATACAGTGTCAGATAATGCTAGGTAATAGAACTAACTGTTGGTTTAACCATATAGTGTCAGATAATGCTAGGTAATAGAACTAACTGTTGAGTTAACCATATAGTGTCAGATATTGCCAGGTAATAGAACTAACTGTTGAGTTAAACATACAGTGTCAGATAATGCTAGGTAATTGAACTAACTGTTGAGTTAACCATATAGTGTCAGATATTGCTAGGTAACATAACTAACTGTTGAGTTAACCATACAGTGTCAGATATTGCTAGTTAACATAATTAACTGTTGAGTTAATCATACAGTGTCAGATAATGCTAGGTAATTGAACTAACTGTTGAGTTAACCATATAGTGTCAGATAATGCTAGGTAACATAATTAACTGTTGAGTTAACCATATAGTGTCAGATAATGCTAGGTAACATAATTAAATGTTGGGTTAACCATACAGTGTCAGATAATGCTAGGTAACAGAACTAACTGTTGAGTTAACCATACAGTGTCAGATAATGCTAGGTAACAGAACTAACTGTTGAGTTAACCATACAGTGTCAGATAATGCTAGGTAACATAATTAACTGTTGAGTTAACCATATAGTGTCAGATAATGCTAGGTAACAGAACTAACTGTTGAGTTAACCATACAGTGTCAGATAATGCTAGGTAACAGAACTAACTGTTGAGTTAACCATACAGTGTCAGATAATGCTAGGTAACATAATTAACTGTTGAGTTAACCATACAGTGTCAGATAATGCTAGGTAACATAATTAACTGTTGAGTTAACCATACAGTGTCAGATAATGCTAGGTAACAGAACTAACTGTTGAGTTAACCATATAGTGTCATATATTGCTAGGTAACATAACTAACTGTTGAGTTAACCATACAGTGTCAGATAATGCTAGGTAACATAATTAACTGTTGAGTTAACCATATAGTGTCAGATAATGCTAGGTAACAGAACTAACTGTTGAGTTAACCATATAGTGTCAGATATTGCTAGGTAACATAACTAACTGTTGAGTTAACCATACAGTGTCAGATATTGCTAGGTAACATAACTAACTGTTGAGTTAACCATACAGTGTCAGATAATGCTAGGTAACATAATTAACTGTTGAGTTAACCATATAGTGTCAGATAATGCTAGGTAATAGAACTAACTGTTGAGTTAACCATACAGTGTCAGATAATGCTAGGTAATTGAACTAACTGTTGAGTTAACCATATAGTGTCAGATAATGCTAGGTAACAGAACTAACTGTTGAGTTAACCATACAGTGTCAGATAATGCTAGGTAACAGAACTAACTGTTGAGTTAACCATACAGTGTCAGATAATGCTAGATAACAGAACTAACTCTTGAGTTAACCATACAGTGTCAGATAATGCTAGGTAACATAATTAACTGTTGAGTTAACCATATAGTGTCAGATAATGCTAGGTAACAGAACTAACTGTTGAGTTAACCATACAGTGTCAGATAATGCTAGGTAACATAATTAACTGTTGAGTTAACCATACAGTGTCAGATAATGCTAGGTAACAGAACTAACTGTTGAGTTAACCATATAGTGTCAGATATTGCTAGGTAACATAACTAACTGTTGAGTTAACCATACAGTGTCAGATAATGCTAGGTAACATAACTAACTGTTGAGTTAACCATATAGTGTCAGATAATGCTAGGTAACAGAACTAACTGTTGAGTTAACCATATAGTGTCAGATATTGCTAGGTAACATAACTAACTGTTGAGTTAACCATACAGTGTCAGATAATGCTAGGTAACAAAATTAACTGTTGAGTTAACCATACAGTGTCAGATAATGCTAGGTAACAGAACTAACTGTTGAGTTAACCATACAGTGTCAGATAATGCTAGGTAACAGAACTAACTGTTGAGTTAACCATACAGTGTCAGATAATGCTAGGTAATTGAACTAACTGTTGAGTTAACCATACAGTGTCAGATAATGCTAGGTAATAGAACTAACTGTTGAGTTAACCATACAGTGTCAGATAATGCTAGGTAATTGAACTAACTGTTGAGTTAACCATATAGTGTCAGATAATGCTAGGTAATTGAACTAACTGTTGAGTTAACCATATAGTGTCAGATAATGCTGGGTAACAGAACTAACTGTTGAGTTAACCATATAGTGTCAGATAATGCTAGGTAACATAACTAACTGTTGAGTTAACCATACAGTGTCAGATATTGCTAGGTAACATAACTAACTGTTGAGTTAACCATATAGTGTCAGATATTGCTAGGTAACATAACTAACTGTTGAGTTAACCATATAGTGTCAGATATTGCTAGGTAACATAACTAACTGTTGAGTTAACCATATAGTGTCAGATATTGCTAGGTAACATAACTAACTGTTGAGTTAACCATATAGTGTCAGATATTGCTAGGTAATAGAACTAACTGTTGAGTTAACCATACAGTGTCAGATATTGCTAGGTAATAGAACTAACTGTTGAGTTAACCATACAGTGTCAGATAATGCTAGGTAATTGAACTAACTGTTGAGTTTACCATATAGTGTCAGATATTGCTAGGTAACATAACTAACTGTTGAGTTAACCATACAGTGTCAGATATTGCTAGGTAACATAACTAACTGTTGAGTTAACCATACAGTGTCAGATATTGCTAGGTAACATAACTAACTGTTGAGTTAACCATACAGTGTCAGATAATGCTAGGTAACATAATTAACTGTTGAGTTAACCATATAGTGTCAGATAATGCTAGGTAATAGAACTAACTGTTGAGTTAACCATACAGTGTCAGATAATGCTAGGTAATTGAACTAACTGTTGAGTTAACCATATAGTGTCAGATAATGCTAGGTAACAGAACTAACTGTTGAGTTAACCATACAGTGTCAGATAATGCTAGGTAACAGAACTAACTGTTGAGTTAACCATACAGTGTCAGATAATGCTAGATAACAGAACTAACTCTTGAGTTAACCATACAGTGTCAGATAATGCTAGGTAACATAATTAACTGTTGAGTTAACCATATAGTGTCAGATAATGCTAGGTAACAGAACTAACTGTTGAGTTAACCATACAGTGTCAGATAATGCTAGGTAACATAATTAACTGTTGAGTTAACCATACAGTGTCAGATAATGCTAGGTAACAGAACTAACTGTTGAGTTAACCATATAGTGTCAGATATTGCTAGGTAACATAACTAACTGTTGAGTTAACCATACAGTGTCAGATAATGCTAGGTAACATAACTAACTGTTGAGTTAACCATATAGTGTCAGATAATGCTAGGTAACAGAACTAACTGTTGAGTTAACCATATAGTGTCAGATATTGCTAGGTAACATAACTAACTGTTGAGTTAACCATACAGTGTCAGATAATGCTAGGTAACAAAATTAACTGTTGAGTTAACCATACAGTGTCAGATAATGCTAGGTAACAGAACTAACTGTTGAGTTAACCATACAGTGTCAGATAATGCTAGGTAACAGAACTAACTGTTGAGTTAACCATACAGTGTCAGATAATGCTAGGTAATTGAACTAACTGTTGAGTTAACCATACAGTGTCAGATAATGCTAGGTAATAGAACTAACTGTTGAGTTAACCATACAGTGTCAGATAATGCTAGGTAATTGAACTAACTGTTGAGTTAACCATATAGTGTCAGATAATGCTAGGTAATTGAACTAACTGTTGAGTTAACCATATAGTGTCAGATAATGCTGGGTAACAGAACTAACTGTTGAGTTAACCATATAGTGTCAGATAATGCTAGGTAACATAACTAACTGTTGAGTTAACCATACAGTGTCAGATATTGCTAGGTAACATAACTAACTGTTGAGTTAACCATATAGTGTCAGATATTGCTAGGTAACATAACTAACTGTTGAGTTAACCATATAGTGTCAGATATTGCTAGGTAACATAACTAACTGTTGAGTTAACCATATAGTGTCAGATATTGCTAGGTAACATAACTAACTGTTGAGTTAACCATATAGTGTCAGATATTGCTAGGTAATAGAACTAACTGTTGAGTTAACCATACAGTGTCAGATATTGCTAGGTAATAGAACTAACTGTTGAGTTAACCATACAGTGTCAGATAATGCTAGGTAATTGAACTAACTGTTGAGTTTACCATATAGTGTCAGATATTGCTAGGTAACATAACTAACTGTTGAGTTAACCATACAGTGTCAGATATTGCTAGGTAACATAACTAACTGTTGAGTTAACCATACAGTGTCAGATATTGCTAGGTAACATAACTAACTGTTGAGTTAACCATACAGTGTCAGATAATGCTAGGTAATAGAACTAACTGTTGAGTTAACCATACAGTGTCAGATATTGCTAGGTAATAGAACTAACTGTTGAGTTAACCATACAGTGTCAGATAATGCTAGGTAATTGAACTAACTGTTGAGTTAACCATATAGTGTCAGATATTGCTAGGTAACATAACTAACTGTTGAGTTAACCATACAGTGTCAGATATTGCTAGGTAACATAATTACCTGTTGAGTTAATCATACAGTGTCAGATAATGCTAGGTAATAGAACTAACTGTTGAGTTAAACATACAGTGTCAGATAATGCTAGGTAATTGAACTAACTGTTGAGTTAACCATATAGTGTCAGATATTGCTAGGTAACATAACTAACTGTTGAGTTAACCATACAGTGTCAGATATTGCTAGGTAACATAATTAACTGTTGAGTTAATCATACAGTGTCAGATAATGCTAGGTAATAGAACTAACTGTTGAGTTAAACATACAGTGTCAGATAATGCTAGGTAACATAATTAACTGTTGAGTTAATCATACAGTGTCAGATAATGCTAGGTAATAGAACTAACTGTTGAGTTAACCATACAGTGTCAGATAATGCTAGGTAATAGAACTAACTGTTGAGTTAACCATATAGTGTCAGATAATGCTAGGTAATAGAACTAACTGTTGAGTTAACCATATAGTGTCAGATAATGCTAGGTAATAGAACTAACTGTTGAGTTAACCATATAGTGTCAGATAATGCTAGGTAACATAACTAACTGTTGAGTTAACCATATAGTGTCAGATAATGCTAGGTAACATAACTAACTGTTGAGTTAACCATATAGTGTCAGATATTGCTAGGTAACATAACTAACTGTTGAGTTAACCATACAGTGTCAGATATTGCTAGGTAACATAATTACCTGTTGAGTTAATCATACAGTGTCAGATAATGCTAGGTAATAGAACTAACTGTTGAGTTAAACATACAGTGTCAGATAATGCTAGGTAATTGAACTAACTGTTGAGTTAACCATATAGTGTCAGATATTGCTAGGTAACATAACTAACTGTTGAGTTAACCATACAGTGTCAGATATTGCTAGGTAACATAATTAACTGTTGAGTTAATCATACAGTGTCAGATAATGCTAGGTAATAGAACTAACTGTTGAGTTAAACATACAGTGTCAGATAATGCTAGGTAATTGAACTAACTGTTAAGTTAACCATACATTGTCACATAATTCTAGGTAATTGAACTAACTGTTGAGTTAACCATACAGTGTCAGATAATGCTAGGTAACATAATTAACTGTTGAGTTAACCATACAGTGTCAGATAATGCTAGGTAACAGAACTAACTGTTGAGTTAACCATACAGTGTCAGATAATGCTAGGTAACATAATTAACTGTTGAGTTAACCATACAGTGTCAGATAATGCTAGGTAACAGAACTAACTGTTGAGTTAACCATATAGTGTCAGATATTGCTAGGTAACATAACTAACTGTTGAGTTAACCATACAGTGTCAGATAATGCTAGGTAACATAATTAACTGTTGAGTTAACCATACAGTGTCAGATATTGCTAGGTAACAGAACTAACTGTTGAGTTAACCATACAGTGTCAGATAATGCTAGGTAACAGAACTAACTGTTGAGTTAATCATACAGTGTCAGATAATGCTAGGTAACAGAACTAACTGTTGAGTTAACCATACAGTGTCAGATAATGCTAGGTAACATAATTAACTGTTGAGTTAATCATACAGTGTCAGATAATGCTAGGTAATAGAACTAACTGTTGAGTTAAACATACAGTGTCAGATAATGCTAGGTAATTGAACTAACTGTTAAGTTAACCATACATTGTCACATCATTCTAGGTAATTGAACTAACTGTTGAGTTAACCATACAGTGTCAGATAATGCTAGGTAACATAATTAACTGTTGAGTTAACCATACAGTGTCAGATAATGCTAGGTAACAGAACTAACTGTTGAGTTAACCATACAGTGTCAGATAATGCTAGGTAACATAATTAACTGTTGAGTTAACCATACAGTGTCAGATAATGCTAGGTAACAGAACTAACTGTTGAGTTAACCATATAGTGTCAGATATTGCTAGGTAACATAACTAACTGTTGAGTTAACCATACAGTGTCAGATAATGCTAGGTAACATAATTAACTGTTGAGTTAACCATACAGTGTCAGATATTGCTAGGTAACAGAACTAACTGTTGAGTTAACCATACAGTGTCAGATAATGCTAGGTAACAGAACTAACTGTTGAGTTAATCATACAGTGTCAGATAATGCTAGGTAACAGAACTAACTGTTGAGTTAACCATACAGTGTCAGATAATGCTAGGTAACAGAACTAACTGTTGAGTTAACCATACAGTGTCAGATAATGCTAGGTAACATAATTAACTGTTGAGTTAACCATACAGTGTCAGATATTGCTAGGTAACAGAACTAACTGTTGAGTTAACCATACAGTGTCAGATAATGCTAGGTAACATAATTAACTGTTGAGTTAACCATATAGTGTCAGATAATGCTAGGTAACAGAACTAACTGTTGAGTTTACCATACAGTGTCAGATAATGCTAGGTAACATAATTAACTGTTGAGTTAACCATACAGTGTCAGATAATGCTAGGTAACAGAACTAACTGTTGAGTTAACCATACAGTGTCAGATAATGCTGGGTAATAGAACTAACTAAACCTATATTGTTAGTCCTTAATTGAAAGACACATTTCATGCCATTTTTGTGTCAGTGTGCTTTAGCAGTCCAGTTTCCAGCTTTGACCAGATTATGTCAGAAACAATAACCATCTAAAACAGTGGTCTCCTACATTTTTCAGGCCCCCCTCCCCTCTCCTGAGTATATGGCAAGACCCCCACACCCCACTTTGAGTATTATGGCAAGACTCCGACATCCCCTTGAGTATATGGCAGACCCTCACGTCCCCCTTTGAGCATTATGGCAAGACCCCACATCCCCCTTTGAGTTTATGGCAAGACTCCACATCCACCTCTCAAGATAACAAAAAAGGATTCATTAAAAACAGGAGGACAATAGGTTATGTGACCTGGGAAACATACAGAATGGAGATACGTTCTGGTCAGAATGGCTTCTTAATCTACAAATACCTGTCTTATCATATTATTTAGGTTTGTTAATTGTAGATATACAAACTGCTTATGAAAATAAAAGATGTCCAGCAACAACTGATTGTGTTTCAGTTAAAAGAATTCACTTATTTCCTTCAGTTCAGTAGTAGTAGTAGACTTTTAGCCCACTAGGACATCACACAAGCGATAAACACCCGATGACACAAAGTGCCACCATGCAGATGAGGATCACCGTGGAGAGGTCCCAGAAACTGCGTTCAGGCATTAGACCATATTTATGGCCGGGCTATATTGTGGCCCCTGGCAAGAGCCAGGGTGGGGCTTTACAATAACGAAAAATTGCACCTCACAAGGAGATGATTTCAATGATAATATCACACACAAAAGGTATTTCATCAGTTCAGTCATTTGTTACGGCAGAATGTACCCAGCGAAAGAGAGTGAAATATGCAGGTGATGAATTGTGCAATCTACTGTTTGTGTCTTTTTTCTTCTAATTGACAGCTGGGAAACACAACTTTTATCTGTGAGTTATCTATCAGAAATAATAAGTGCTAACTGAACACAACAATCACATCCATGAAATCAGCTATCAAACTGGTAAAACTAACTTCCATGCTGTGCTGAATAATGTAGGGGCGTCTTCCCAGCTGTGCATGGACAGTCAAGGTCAATGGCACTTTTAAACAGTAGCTGTAATATTGGTACATGGTTTCTAATGGCCGCCAGATGAGCAGGTTGTCTTCCTTTGATGTCTCTGGCCGTCATACTTGCACCTGAGGGAAATAAAGATACACACAAGTAGACAACAATCAGGAACTTGTGAGGCTACTAGTACAATATTGTTAGCAAACTGATTAGTCTAAACTTCTTCTTATTCTTATGATGGCTTTCTGATTTATACCAGCAGATGAACTCTTGTGGTAAAATTGACTGTGTTTAGGAGTTTCCTATTGTTTCATATATTTATGAGTATCGCACTGACTCACTGGGCCAGTTTTACCTACTATCCTAACCAAAGTAAAATGAATCAAGAGGTGAGAAAAGGCTGTTGGCATGGATAAGACACACATTTAGACAGCAATGACTACAATCAGTCAGTAGCCTGTCCTTTGCAGAACCTTGCTTCCATAACAACCTTCCAGAAAACTTCCTGATCACAAGCAAGATGTCCTATGTCTGATTACACCCATCTGGAGATCTTCTGCCACATCATGCACCCATCTTCTCTTTGGCCTTTCTCTTCCTCTCTTCCCAGGCATATACCCCTCCATTTCTGTTCTCTCTAAACTTTCGTGACATTTGAAGTCACCAGAATATTTAAATATTCTGACTGTGTTCTGTCATCTTTAATAGCCAATCTTCTTCAAAATTCAGTTCTTGAAGAATGAATGCATTTGTTCTTTTCATCCAACAGATCAAACAGAATACCCCTGCACTGAAACCAACATGGTCAACAACACAAAAACAATGACCACACAAAAAAGAAGACAAAGATGAATAAGATGAGAAGGTGATGGATTAAGTTGCATGCTGTACTGGTCATTCCTACTGTATTGTTTCTACATGACACATTCCACGGTCTATTGTTAGTTACTTTAGGTATAAAAAAATGATTGATTGTATCTTTTATGGAACACAAAGCGACAATATAATATTTATTTCAGGCTTATCTATTAAATATTTCAGTACCAAGCAGTTGTTAATTAAACCCCTTCTATTCCAAGGAGTTGATCTTTAAAGCATTATATACTTAATCCTAATGGAGTTAAATAGAGACACCATGGGACAGAAGTAGTTGAAGTTATACTTCAGTTACAAAGGGTTAACATAACACATCTGTGATAAAACCATGGGAACATTACACTATCTTTGGTGGGGCTTTTTTTGGGCAGGTGCCAGTTGGAAGGTGCCAGTATTTACTTCAGTGTACAAAAAAATGTGAAAGTACTTACTACAGTATATTTTTTTTAAAAAGGTGCCAGTACTCACTAAGTGTCAAAAAAAGGTGCCAGTATTTACTACAGTGTCAAACAATGAGCCAGTACTTACTACAGTGTCAAAAAATGTGCCAGTACTTACTACAGTGTCAAGAAAGGTGGCAGTACTTAATACAAAGTGTATATTACACTAGCACTTCTGCCTAAAAATAAAAAGGTGACAATACTGTATACCATATATTTTCCTTGATCGGTGGTAAGACCAGGAAATGTATGGTGGGTCATTTGGTACCGAAAGAGTTGCCTCTTTGAGTCCCAAGTAACGCATCATACGTTCATATATTCCTGCCTAGAAGCCCAATGAACGCAAGATGCGCCGATTTTACATCTCTTTTGACTACCCCTTGGGCCTGTGATGCTGAACCCCCTGGGACTCAAAGAGTTAATGATAATCTAGTATGTATTCTACGTTACCTTTATCTACATCATCTTTTATAATGTAGGTTATTTTATGACATTTATACATGTACAACAAAATAACAATGTTACATTGGCTGAGACTGGAATAAGTATAAATGCTGATGTTCCAATAATACATGTTATGCTAATGTCAAGTGTATAGGTGTACACACACGTCAGGGTGGTGGTATGTCAGTATGCCGATCTAGCTTACCACAATAAGGTGCTGAAGTCAGAGGAAACCAGCCAGTAGGTGCATCACAACAATCAGGATGCCACACGCAAATGCAATAGGAAAATATCAAGGCAAAACTTCTGGCCAAAAGAAACACCGCTGGAAGCCAAACTTTATGGGTCACTGAGTGAATTTAAAAAAAAAGGCAGTGAAGTGTTAACTAAAGAAAACAATCCAGATGTAGATAATCTACTTCAATTGAATGAAAGAAGAAGAAAAAGAATATAGGTACTAGTACACTCCGTAATATTCTTATACATATGATCCAACCACACACAAATATGAAATTAAAGTTAATTGTAAAAGACATGACCTTTGTCCAGCAGCAGTTTTAAGACTTTGGTTTCTCCATTAAAGGCAGCAAGATGGGCTGCAGTCTGGCCATTGATATCGCCAACATCAATGTTAGATGTTGCATCCAGCAACAGGCGGACTGATTCTAAGTGACCACCAATACAAGCTTCATGCAGGGCTATTCTTTGACTTGTACTCTTTAGCTCAGGATTTGCTCCTCCCTGAAATTGTATGAGGAGTGACAGATGAGTTTAGCACATCAGCATGATAAAGTTAACTCTTTCTGTCCCTGGGAATACATCATACGTCACAGGTTCCTACATAGAAGCGCAGTGAATGAAAGATTACATGTATCTCTTTAACACCCCTTGGGCCTCTGATACTAAACCCCTAGGGACTGAAAAAGTTGAGGTGCTTACAGGAAACAGTTCTACAAGAAATAGTTCAACTTGCCCCTACATGGTAGATTTTCTGTGGGTTCACACCTCTTTCAAAATATCTGGGTTGCTCTTTTTGGCCGTCTGAAGCTTTGAGAAATTGTCTGGCTTGTTTTTATTATTATATTTATTTATATTATTGTTTATTATAGGATATTACTTTTTATATAAACTGTTGTCGGACAAGTTACCTTCAGGAGTTCAGAAATGACAGCTGTCTGTCCATAAGTTGCTGCTACAGACAAAACACTTCGACCAATGCCCTCTCTTGTTGCTGTCAGATCTGGCTCAATGCTGTGCTCTGCCAGCAGCTTGCGCACCTTTTCAGCATCCCCGTGTTCCGTTGCTGTCAAAAACACATTCTTTACATCTGGAAATTCAGAAATTGAAACAAAATAACATAGATAAATAAATTATATAAGTTCAAGGCAAGTCAAGTGCGGTTAACAGTTAACATGATTGTACTTTGTGAACTACTAGCTTTAATGTTGTTGGCTAGTTACAGTTATTCACATAAATTGTACTTTAAAGTTGAATAACTCTAGTGTTAGCAAATCTGCCCCTATATTTTGAACAGCTAGCATTGTATCTATGTGATGCCTCCTCGCACTCCCCTTTGCTTTTTTTACCTTTCGCATCAGCCATATTTGTTTAGACTAGCACTATTTTCGGCAGTTGTAAATGTTTCTAAGCAACCATTCCTCATCATCATCATGCTCTTCTCGGATGGCTGCGGGTGCTGTAGAATCAGAAGCTCAACAAATGATGACTTTTCCCGCCCAAGTGATTTGACCATCTATACAGATGGCTCTGTGATGAATGAACGTCGCTTAGTGCAACAAAGTCTGGCATATGAAACCACAACGTCTAGTAGGTGAAGCTGAGGATAGGAAGGTCGTGGGTTGGCTCCCTGGCGGAGCCGGACTTTTTTTTTTCAAAAATGACCTTGGCTCCCAGGTCGACCCAGCCTTGAGTGGGTACCGGGTGCAGTCCGGGGAAGTAAAGGCGGCCGGTGTGATGCTGACCACATTACCCATCTTGTGCCGATTGGTCTATAAAAATATAGGTCTAGCCCTACATGCCCTATACTCCTAAAGGCGTGGGAAAAGGTCCTTTACTTTTTACTAGTTAGTGAAGGCAGTCACTGCTGCCTTCCCGCTTGATTGAGAATCAGCTGTACACACATGACGTAATTGTAACTGACTCACAAAGCATGTTGAGAAAAAGTGGAGACAGGCGTGCTCCGTGTAGAATTACAAGAGGTCCTGTGTAGTTATTATACTTTGGATATTTTCTCCAGGATATGCTGGTGTGTTGGGACACGAGCAGTCAGACAGACTGGTCGGTTCTGCACCACTTGATGGTGAATTGATATATGAGAAGCTAGATGTCAAGAGGACCCTTTGGGAGCAGTTGAACAGTGTGGAGGTGTGAGAAGAACAGCGCTGCGGGGAGTTACCAGGGGATCTGACCGACGCTCAACACTCAGGGGAAAGGAAGACGGTTGTACAATCAGTTACTGGTACCATCGGAAATGTAACTCTTCGTTTGCTGCTGAAGATGGGGATGGAGCGCTTTGTGGGAGTGTCCCGAGTACGATTATTGCGATTAATTCAACGCTGATTCAACATTGGCGTGGGCGATCATGTATCGTCACACTGGCATTCTTCAGCTGCGTGTATGATTTAGTGTTAGGGCACTTTTTCGTGCCGCGATAAAGGACTTCATTATTCTTGTCTTGTTGTCTTTTTACACATTTGTAAAGTAGTTATAAATTGTTAATCTTTTTTTTTTTTTTTCAAGTGTGGTCAAAAACGACGATCTCTTCTGTTTAATCTTTATGAGTTCTTTTGATGTCTATACCACACATACTTGCGGTGCACTGATAGTGTAATTGAAATGATTACCTTGTTTTAAAAAAAAAACGGTTTCAATCTGTGCCCGATTGCATCGTATGTTTTGTATGATCTCATAATAACGTTTTGTACTTATCACGAGAGTCACCCTATCTCGCTCGCGCGCGGGATTTCATGTCTGCTTCCATTTATGTCGTGTCAGTTCCCATGGTTAGTCCTATGATCTATTTTTATAAAAGGTTCAACAACGCCAACATTTTAAATATCGATGCAGAAATTTCTAGAACGTAGCAAAAACAACGGCTGTGGTATCAAAAGTGCAGTTCTGCACGGGTCAAATGGTACCAGGTTTGTAAGAATGTATCAACTTCGCCTGTCCTCTTTGCTTATCCTTCTACTCACAATTATCATTCAGGAGCGTCAAAACACCTCCCCTCCCCCAAAGATAACTGGGATTCTTCTTCTTCTTCAGCGATCTCTGGTCATGCGCATAATCCACTGTGGGTCATAAACTGGGATGTCTTTTCAAGGTCTCTTAGGTTTCCCCAAAGCTTAGTTGTCAGTTCTACTGGGTGTTGCCATATGTCGTCCCGCAGCTCCGCCAGGAGAGGACAGTCTTGCAGGACATGTTCTGGAGTCTGTTCAGCACGAAGACACTAGCAGAGAGCTGTTTGGCTCATACCTAATTTATATTAGTGTTTATTGAGTCTGCAGTGTCCAGTGCGTAAGCGAAAAACTGTGACTTGATCTGTTCTGTTCAAGTGCCTCAGAAAATCTTTTCCGTAGTTATAACCAGTGTTATTTTTCCAATCTGTTTCTGATTTTCTCTTAATGAGAGTTTTGACTTCTGGAAAAGATAGTGGCTGGTAGGTCTGTAGTTTGTTACTGCCTTCCTTGACTAAAGCATCAGCGCTTTCATTGCCTTTGATGCCACAGTGAGACGGAATCCACTGCAAGTGAATTTCTGCCTTATTTGACAACATAGCAAGTTCCTGTGTTAGACTTTGTAGTGTGCTGTCGGTAGGTTTGGACTCAAGCGCCTGTACAGCTGACAGTGAGTCAGTGAGAAAAACTATCCTGCCTGCGGTGATTTGCAGATTGTTCATATACTGTGCTGCCATCAATAGAGCTGAGAGTTCTGCCTTGTAGTTAGAGCAAGTTCGTCCGGTGGGGGCTGCTAGGGACACAGTAGTGGCATCTGGGTGTTTTATGTAAACACCTGCCCCACCATTCGTAGTTGTTTCTTTTGCTGATCCATCCGTGTAGATTCTTGTCCAGCTGTCCTGTGGGAACATTTTGTTGAGGTGTTCCATTGTGAGTGCTTTCTTCACTAAAGCGGGCTCAGCATCTTTGTTTCCCAGGTTCGGGATGGATGTTGACACATTGAGTGTCAATAATTCGGAGTCCCAGAGATCGAAAGATAGCTCTTCAGGTGTACATTGTTGGTTAAGTAGTGAAGAGAATGACTTTCCAAACTGGGATTCAAAGAGGGGGTTTTGTTGGGGGGGGGGGGGGGGAGGGGGAGGCTGCATTTCCGGAAACAAACATTTGTAAGTAATACATATCTCAGTTAGGCCTATACCCCAGGTGGGTTGAATGATCGTTCTGCTGCTTTGCTAAAAAAATCGTCACGTTCAACTAGCATCTCCGAAGAGGGAGTTTTAGGTCATAATTTTGACTAGGTTATATGCGCCATGTAAGATAGCTTATCATTGCACGCCACCAAAAGCCCTGAAAAGGACCCCTGGAGTGTTAATGCGATTAAAGAAGTCACCCAAATACTGTCCTGAGCGCCAACGAAGTCGTCAACCGGCAAGCCAATGGGTGGCCAGGTTATCGATGTAGAACAGAATATTGTGGTTTAAATATTTCCACTGCTTTAACATATCAGTGTGTCCTCCCATTTCCGAAAAAAAAAGAAGTTACATACTGTTAGAAATCTATGTATTTGTGCTTTTCTTAGAAATGTTTATGAACTTTCTTGCCTATGAAGACGGCATAATTCCTGTTATTCCGTGTGTATTAAAGTAAAACAGGTTGCGAAACTGCGCGGGTAAATATGACAGAGAAATGAACCGAGTAACTGACCCCGCCGGCGGAGAAGTTGACCTCTCACCTCGGTTGTTGACGTCTGCCAGCTGGGCGGGCAGTCGTGGGACGTCAACATGACGGGTCAACAAACGGGAAACTGGTCGCTTTATCTGCTACGTGTCTCCATTGATAAAACACCAAGGTATAATGTCGCAGTATTTTGCTTTGATGTTGGGCGCGAATCATGAATGTTTGTTTTAACGGTTTGTTATTAGTGGCAGATAGAATTATATTATTTGATATTGAAATAATAAAATCAACATGAGAATGAATGGGTTCTAAAAAATTGAGCCTTGTTGTTTCTAGTAATAGTAATCTTCTTTAGCTTCATTACTACTACTGCTACCACCACCACCACCACAACTATACTATTTAAAATACATGCTGCTTCCCTTTTGATGTTTCAGTGTCAGTTACAATCTGCAGTTTAAAAAAAAAAACAACTTCAAGCTACTATTTAACTTTATATATTATATAAAGTTATTCACTAACTAACCGACCATAATGTCAATGTTTACTTTTGCGAAGTATGATAGGGACCCGAGAGCCGAAGAAGCCAGGACAGATGATTGTAAATCACACGCTTCACTAACGCGGCTGATGTTTGATATTTGCAATGTTCTGCTCTAGAGTACAGGATGGTACAGCCAAACAATGTGATAAAACAAAAACAAAACAGCATGACGGATATAGCTACAGTCGTAATGCGAGTAATGCGTATCCTGTTCTAGGATGTAGCTGTACATTATGTATTGGTATAGCTCTGTGTAGAAGTGGAGGCAGGATTTGTGATAACATAAATAGTTGAAGTCTGAAGTGTTGTTCAAATATTCCAGCCTTCACTTTGAGGGTGCACAGTTGAAAAGGTAATTCTGGTTTCTTTCTCCAGGATGTTTAATGGATTGTAGAGAATTAAGCAGATTTGCAGTTCAGTTGTTAAAGTTTGTGCAGTCATGTGTGTTGATCATATTATATTTGCTGACCATTCCTGTGTTACCTGTATTGTTTGGTAATCTGGTATTAAGTAATGGATAATAAGGACTGTGGTAATCTGTGTGCTATTGTTTAGTAATTGGTGCTGTACTGTTTGTAATGTTTGTTAATCTGTTATTTAGTAATTGATAATGAAGACTGGGATAATCTTTGTGCTAGTGTTTGTTAATTGGTGCTGTACTGTTTGTAATGTTTGTTAATCTGTTATTTAGTAATTGATAATGAAGACTGGGGTAATCTTTGTGCCAGTGTTTGTTAATTGGTGCTGTATAATTTGGGCTCTCCTTTAAATAACGGTCCCAAATGATCTACACAAAAAGTTAACCCTAACAGAGCCTCATTACGCCCTACCCTACAAAGATTTAAAAGTTGTAGCTCGGAAAATATAAGGAACGAAAAGTATGAGGAAAAGGGCGAAGTCTACTACTTACCGATAGTTAAATCCTTTATATGTGAAAATTGTGGCGCAGAAGTTGCAAATAGTACCCGAATATCTGTTCTTTCTGTCTGTCCGCCATTTCAACAGGGCACGGCTTGTCCGCGATTCTCGTTCTGGGCGAGACATAATCAATAATGTGCGTTGTAATGTACGCGCATGTCGCCTCGGGACAACTTCAAACCAGCAGTCGCCTCGGGACAACTTCAAACCAGCAGCCACCACTATGGCGCTCCACTATCCCGACCACCCCTTGACCGTGGCGAATG